CATGCTAATTGTTTGATAATGTAGCCATCGGAGAAAAGTGAATCTGTTCTCTAAAGAACTTCCTAGCTCACGCCCATGTCCAACAATTGAATACACATGCACCCACTCCGCTTGCACGGGGGTTAGATATGCATACAAATATATACACATATGTGACACTGATACTAAACTCATTTTTTGTAGTGCAAGGCTTGCCCTTCCATTTCTTGAAGAGAAGTATAGTTAGTTCAACGAATTCCCATTGCCACTGACAAAAGCCCTTCTGTGGCAATCAAGCTCATGCCACTACCTCCAACTGATAGCAGTGAACGTAAAGATATGCAATTAGTTGTGACCAAGTATGAACCTATTGTTGAGGAACCAACAACACCGGAACCAGAAACCACTTACATAACAAAAAGTGACATTGAGGACGCATTCTATGAGGATCCTGATGGCATTCCTACAATCAAGCTCAACATTGAATAGTTCACACAGAATCTACAGAACTCTATGCAAGAGTACATGGAACTGTATGTAGAAGATATGTCCAAAGCTTTAGTTTCTTTAAATCCAGAAGTTGCATCCATCCCTACACCCAAACGGAAGAATGTGAGTCGACTACGGACGGAGCATCAAGTGTAAGTAAGAATCTTTGAATTAGATATTCACCGTGACACACATAGGAGTACATAAGAACTGGATCAAGTTAAATTTTATTTTCCTATTAGACCATAAATTAAACCCCCAACCAGAAAAAGAAAAATTTAGTTTGCTATCTTACCAAGCCAATGGATTAAGTTAGATTTTATTTTATGAGCATTGACAAACAAACCATTTAGACATTAATAAATGTTAAATAACACAACTTGCCAAGATACTTTTTGCTGCACAACTAACTCCTTCCATCATGTTGCACCTACAAACTTCCAGATTCACACCCTCTCCTAAAAGGGGTTAGTTACCTCCACTTTTGTTCTATAAGCATTTGTGAACAATTAAAAAAAATGTAAAAACATATGCATCCGCACACATGAACTTCATTTAGAGTATAAGTAGCACAAGGTATAGCCAAATGGTAGACCAGCACCACACAAATAAAATTTACTGCACCATACCTTGAGACAGGTAGAGACAAGGACAAGAGGATCATTTGGAAGAGGGAGTTGCATTCTGATTCTCTCACGATTATAAAAATTTGTGTAGCTAATCTATTAGGTAATAATAGATATAAATCAAAATTAAAAGTTTCATATAAATATATATAATAAAAAAAAATGGTAAACCTCATCATGAGTGTGTTAAAATCAGACAAATATTCATTCATAACTAGATACATTGTGGACAAATACAACTATCCAACTCCTCTCTCATTCCCGATGTCAAGCGCGATTCTTAAATATCTATTGTACTCCCATTTTGTACCTACGAATTCCAAATTACGAAAAACTTTTTGAACTTTTTTTTGCTGTAACCAATTATGACAGCTACATGGCAAATAGTTTCGTCATTAGGTTGTTCTCCTTTATATAATACATCATTATTAGACCAGAAGAATTTCGAACCAACCATCATGGTTCCTAATACCGGTTGAGTCGCTACTGTCAACCTAAGATATTCCTCATTACATTAAGGTATTTTGATGAACCCATCAATGGTTTTATTTTTTATCGTATTATTTCTATTTCTCAACATTACACCATATATCATTGTGAACTTCTAATAGTATTCAATCAAACCTCCCCTTCCATCAGCTTTGCATTTGGATGAGAATTTATTAAGTCTTGCCAATTTACCATAGATTCAACTCCTACAACAATCCTACCCATAGTTTCAATGGTGGTTGTCGTACTTAAAACATAGCAAATTTGAATACCATTATGATTTTTTACTTCGGTCATCAATGGAAACCAACTATGGTTTGCAGGAATAACCCACTTACCATTGTCAACTTTTAAATGTATGGAATTTTGTATAAAAAAATAAAATAATAATTCAGTAAAAAAAATAAATAAACTATAAGTCTTATGCATTAAAAACAAAATCAACAGAAAAAAATGTGTACTCCTTGATTCAATCTGTTGACCCGCTACAAATTTATCGCTAAATTTATAAAATGTAGGTAGCATAGCCTTCTATTATCATTTTCATTGAATTTCTTATCACACTCAACAAATGCCTTATGCATCATTTCAAAAAAGTAATGTTTCACACTATTGACATGTTTTAAATAAACAAGAAGAAATTATTGATGAAACAAAGCACTATTCCTATTTCAAAGGTTGAGATGAAGGGAGGAAAAGAAAAACAAAAATAAAAATTTAAACCATCTGCCAACAAAAAAAATTAAGGTCAAAACTTTCTCTACATTAACAAACTCACTACAGACATTGATTGGGGAAAGGGAGGGAAGCAGCAAAAACTTTTTGGATATAAAGGAATAGGGTCTTAGCTCATTCAAAGATTTATTTTTGCCGTTTCCCTCCTTTTCCCCAATCAACGACTGTAGCGAGGGTTTTGGAGATGTAGAGAGGGTTTTGTCCTTAATTTTTTTTGTCGACAGATGTGTTGGGTTTTGATTTTTGTTTTGCTTTTCGTCCCTTCACCTCAACATTTGGAACTAGAACAGTACTCTCTTTCATCAGTAATTTCTTCTTGTTTGTTTAAAACATGTTAACAATGTGGAACACTATTATTTCTGAAGTAATGCGAAAGGCATTTGTTGAGTGCGATAAGAAGTTCAATCAAAATGATAATAAACGGCTAAAAAGTTTGTTACCTACATTTTACAAATTTAGCATGTATTTGTAGTTGGACAATGGATTGAATCAGCGGGTGGTGCAAGTTTTTTTCTGTTGATTTTGTTTTTAATAGACACAACTTATAGTTTATTTATTTGTTACTTAATTATTATTATTTTTTATACAGAATTCCATACATCTAAAAGACGATGGTAAGTGGGTTATTTTTGCAAACCATAATTGGTTTTCATGGATGTCAAAAGTCAAAAATCAAAATGATATTCACATTTGCTATGGTTTAAATACGGCAACCACTATTGAAACTACGGGTATGATTGTTGCAGAAATTGAATCTGTGGTAAATTGGCAAGAGTTGATAAATTGTCATCCAAATGCAAAAACGAATGAGAGGGGAGGTTTGTTTAACTATTGTTATAAGTTCGCAATGATATATGGTGTAATGTTGAGAAATGGTAATAATACAATAAAAAAATAGACTATTGATTGGTTCATCAAAATACACCAATGTAATGAGGAATATCTTAGGTTGGCAGTGACGACTTAACCGGTATTAGCAACCATGATGGTTGGTTCGAAATTCTTCCGGTCTAATAGGAATGTATTATATGAAGGAGAAGATCCTAACGAAGAAACTGTATGCCATGTAGTTGTCATAACTGGTTACGGCAAAAAAAAAAAAAAAAAAAATTAGAAAATTTTTCGTAATTTGGAATTCGTAAGATACAATGGATATTTAAGAAATGCGCATGACATGAGAGAGTTTGACAGTTGTATTTGTTCGCCATGTATCCAGTTATGAATGAATAGTTGTTCGATTTTAATACACTCATGATGAGGTTTACCATTTATTATTAAATATATTTATATGAAACTTTTATTTTGATTTATATCTATGGTTGCCTAATAGATTAGCTACACAAATTTTTATAATCGTGAGAGGAGCAACTCCCTCTTCCAAATGATCATCTTGTCCCTACCCTGCCCTTGTTATCCCAAGGTATGGTGTGGTAAGTTTTATTTGTGTGACGGTGGTCTACCATTTGGCTATACCTTGTGTTACTTATATATTATAAATGAACTTCACGTGTGCGGATGGGTATGTCCTTGTGTTCTTTTAGTTGTTCACAAAAGCTTATGGAACATAAAAGATCTTTTAGGATTGAGAAATACGTTTTTGTGGGCACCCATTGTAAAAAAACTAAAAAAATTTAATACTGAGAAGGTGACATCCCTTACAAATGCTCAGATTCAGAGTAAGGATGTTCTTATTACCCATTCGCTGAAATCAAGTATGAGTGATGTGGACAAATGCTGCCACCATGAACTCTTTCATAATGAGGGTCCAAGTGCTAGTGATCTGGTATGATGTCATGATCTCAAAAGGGCTCTTATCCGTAAAACTATTGACTGAATTGTTATAAGCAAATTCTGCACAAATAGTAGTAAATTCCAATTATCTAACTTACCACCCACGAGACATCGAAATAAAATCACCTAAGCTACAGTTTAATAACCTCAATTTGACCATTGGTTTGTGGGTGAAAGGTGGAGGAAAAATAAATGCAAACTAAAGCACAAAAGCAAATTGTAACAGAAAATTAAACTATCAATTTGTATTCAATATCAAGAGTGGAATTAGTTAACCATCATCCCAATATTTATAGTCTTAAGAAATAACAAAGGAAAGAAATCCCGAATAAATAAAATACACAAAATTGATTCCCTAAATTAAATGTCCCAAAATAAGTCAAGCTTAAAGAAATTAGTCCTGATTCGTCTTGACCTGCTTCATGTAAGTGCAATGAATCTCGGGCTTCTGCATGTGTTCCCCGTCACACCGATTTTCTGTATGTCATTATGTCAAGAAGCCTTTGGTAATCCAAGGATTACTTGTCACGACCCCAAACCGCCCCTAGTAGTTTGGTGCCGTGATGGCCAGTAATCCGAGATTACCGAAGGCCAACTTACAAAATTCACACACAATCAGAGTATAAATATATATAGGGCTCACAAGTGTGGAAGCAATAATCTAAAATACAAGTGGTCCACGAGAGCAGTGCATAAGTCAAATGGAATGGCATACATCCTTACATAGCTTTACAACTTGAATACAAATAGAAATGAAGTACAAAAATACATTTTACATCTTGATCAAAAGGCTTCTCCAGCCGACATATGTAAATTACAAGCATTATCAGCCGAGAAGCATAATTTTCAAGACTGCCGACATGAATACAAGTTCAGCCGACATAGAAAAAACCCAAAACAAGCTTGCGAGTCACACCTAGGCGTCACCGCCTTCCTGCTCATCACCTACATATATATATAGAGAGGGTGAGCTTGGATACTCAGTGAATGGTACAAGTAATAAAGGGTTTGAATGTATGACATCCGAGATCTTTAACAAAACAATACATAATCATAGTTTATGACAAACGTGGGATAAATCGAGTTCATCTAACAAATCTGTCGAGCCTCATCAATCAAAGTCTTTCAAGTTTCATGGGTGACATTAACAAAGAGTGTGCTACAAATGCTTATAGTCCCCTAGCACGTACGGACTTCCAAGAATTGTGCTACAAATGCTTATAGTCCCCTAGCACGTACGGACTTCCAAGAATTGTGCTACAAATGCTTATAGTCCCCTAGCACGTACGGACTTCCAAGAATTGTGCTACAAATGCTTATAGTCCCCTAGCACGTACGGACTTCCAAGAATTGTGCTACAAATGCTAATACTTGATACACAAATAGGGATAGTCATTCATGCTTAGCAAATACTTTTCAAAACAAAGCAAAACTTTATCAAAACTTTATAACGTGACTTTATCAAAAATACCACTCACCTAGTTCTTCAACGTCGGGGTCAAGCGAGAGTCCAAGTCCTACAAACACATGGCAAGGTCTATTGAATGCACTTTCAAACAAGCTTTACATGGATGCAAATGTTCTCGGAATTCCTTCAAAACTAAGTCGAACCAAGACAAAACACTATTTCTCCTCTCGGAAAAAACATGCTGGGTACCAACCAGGCTATTGCCGAGGTCCCACACCTTCTTGCCGAGATGTGGTCCCGGTGGCCACGCTCAAGGAAATGAAGTCGAGAAAATCTGGGTTTCCCTCTGCTGAAGAACATGAAACACATGAATGTTCAATCTTAAATTGAGCATATTAACTCGATCTTGAATTGGTCCACGCAGTCCACTTTCGAACTTCCTGGCCTTTCTGTATTCATCATCGACCATGTGACGCGCATATCTCGCCAACTTGGTAAAAGCACAGTCATATTCTGCCACTGTCTTGTTGCCTTGTGTCAAAGTCTGAAACTCTATGGTCTTACGATCTCGAACACTAAGGGGGAAGTGCTTGTTGTAAAACAATTCCAAAAATCTGGCCCAAGTCAAACCTGGGTTGCTTTCTCGGGTCATCATCCACCATCTTTGTGCATCGTCGTCTAGTGTAAATGTTGCCAATGACACCTTCTGGGCGTCGATACTGGGAAAGATCTCAAACAGCTTCTCCATTTCCAAGACCCACGCTTCGACCTTCATCGGTTCAATACCCCCAGAGAACCTCGGCGGTTTCATCTTTTTGAACTCTCTGATCAAGGCTATGGTGCCATCCCCATATAAAGCTTGCTATGGAGGCACTTGTGGCACTAGAGGAGGCAGA